GTAATAATAAAGCGCTTATATAAAAACATCGTCGATGTATTAAGCGCTATATAAACGTGAAATATTATTATTATTGTTATTATTATAAGTAGTAGTAGTAGTACAAGTGGTATTATAATCCTACCGGGTAGTTTTTATACCTCACCTGGGTAGAGGGTGGCAAATGTAGACTGATGTCTCACTCTTGTCTAAGGATGTTAGTGCTGTGAGAGCTAGGGATTTTTATATGATCCGAGAGAGCGTAGCGAACAAGCATGACAAGCGAGTAGATTTTCCATTTTGGAGGGGTGAAACTTTGTACTTGATCACAAAATGATGTAATGGTTGGATCGAAAGATTTCCCTTGATGTTAGGAATTTAGGCAGATGTGACGGTCTGTGATTTTGATTAATTTCCATCGGTCCAGGATATCAAAAATGAAGAGAATCAAAGGGGATTTCTTCTTGGGGGTAAGGAGCCCCGAGCTATTACAAAAAGGGCATTCTATCTCTCTTGGGGGACCCCTCTTTCCGAGAGTTTGTCGTCATTGATCGTCAGCTACCAACAAAATTAATATCAGGTAAAAATCTGACACAAAAAAGAACCAATAATTGACATGTTACGGGGTAATAACCATTATGCAGGGGTTACGCGCACACGGAGTATGGGGTTATGTCTCCCAGACAGCCGGACAAAAAGATTCTTCTTTTTTTCTTTTCCAGCACGGTTTTGGCTTTCATTCGCTTCTTTTGTTTAGGGGCGCATCAAAGGGAAATATTGTTCTGGAGTTATGATAGGGGTGAGGCATTCTAGTTCATCATTGTATGAGGTCGAGGTATTGCAGGTGAATCAAAAAAAAAATCATGGGCTTCGTTCTGTTGCATGGACTAGCTAGTGAAACCCGGATTGTGTTATGAAATTAATATTTTCTAGATCATTCTTGACGTACTCATCCAAATTTATCCACAATGTTAAGAAAAGATGCCACAGACTTCTATATCAATAGAAGAGACATAGATTGAAATGGACTGTCACGATATTTACATTTTAACCCGATTGTCTTGTTTTTGTTGCATTTTTGTTTACATTGCCCTTTACACCCCCTGTGTTACCTTTAATATATACACTAATAAAGAAGAAATATGCCCACACTAATTATTGTGCCATTTTGCTGGCCCTTACCTTTTAGGCCCCAAAGGCACCTGAGGAATCTGACAATCCTATTTTTGCCTAATTTTTTTTGTTTTTTGTTTTTTTGTTTGTAGTAAAGCAACCCCTGAAAATTGTGACAAAGAAATTTTTCGGAATTGATACAGAATCATGGATCCGCCCATATTTTGTTGAATGATTTTATTTCTGCATTTTTTTTCAACATAATAACAAGTAATTTACGAACTAGGTACATATATTTTATAAACGAAAGTCAAAATACATAAAAATACCTTTCAAATACACACTCACATATTTGAAAAATCATTTTAAGCTAGAGCTTAAACATGATGGTTACACATTACACATTTGTTTAAGGTTAACTAGGACCAATGAGACAGGCACAGTTTTAACAAATTTTTTAATTAATTTATTAATTTTGTTGGAGGGAGGGGGAGGCTTTGGAGCTGGGTGGATCTTGGGGTCTTCGGGTATTCATTTTCTACATGTCTTCTTTCAGTCGCCGACCACCCATTGCAACGCGTATATTAAGTTTAACACGCGTTTCAATGAGGTGTCTGTGAACTATACTACTCATGACGGTTTCGTGAAACAATGCCCAGGGGCCCGTTTCACAAAGCCTTTTTGTCAATGACAAATGACAAAAATCAGTGACAAATCTGCTGATAACCAATCAGCAGCGAGGATTTCAGTAGCTTATAACAAAAACTGTCATTTGTCACTGATGACAAGTTTTGTGAAACGCCCCCCCCCCCCCCCCCCCACCCCCTCGCCAGGTGTATTGAGATCAGTTATGTGTGTGTGTTCATAGGCATACGAGGAGGAGTTTAGGGGCTGCGAACCCGTTGAAAATGTACAACTTCCAATATCCGGGCAACCGTCACCCACCCCCCCCCCCCCCCGTGTACGAAGATGTACCGATCTAACTGGCTGCCCCCCCCCCCCCCCTCCCCTTAATATTCCCTAAACATGAGGTACGATTTTGTGTTGGAAATTAATTTTGTCCTTGACATTTTAACGTCAATTCAATTCAATTTATTTATTTTCCATTTTAAAAGAATGAAAACACGAGGGCAAACTCCAGCAATAAAATCACAATATAGGCCAAGATGATGGGATACCCTTACAATACAAGCAAAGTGCTTGTGGGAAGGGTCACAGTTTTACATAATGATAGATAACAATAATATTGTTATTTTCTTATGAATAATAACTCACCTATATTCTCACTTAAGTGCAAAGTCCAGAATGCAAAAATGATTTATGTCATTTCAAATTTTTAACCAAAGTCTTAATATTGGGTACCCTTTCCTGCCCGAATGACCCAGAAAATAGGTATGGGTATAGAGGCTTCAGACGCACACCCGTCCAAACCTATACTCGGGCAGCAAAATAGACTATGGATCTGTTACATCTTTGTAACCTTTTAAGGCCACTTTCTATCATTAATGATCAAATAATATTTAAATGCATGTCAATTGAATCTTGACGCACAATGCATTATCAGAGAATGTCTCGATGAAGAAGCGTTATAACTGTTGCTTAGTTCTCTCGCTTTGCTTTCTCGAAAGATTAGAGACTGGATAGGACGTACATTAGCCCCTTGTCGACATTGTGCCCTCACACCACCACGTGTGTACCTCCTATCGGCAATGAAAGATACCTGCATGAAAGCAAGAGATTGAAGAAAATAATGATTCTTTTCAATATCACTCTAGTAATGGTGGAAAAAGAAGCCTTATGAAGCGAAGCTAGGTAATGAGCCGGATTATTCTGCCTCGAGAGGGAGAGAGAGGGAGAGAAAGGGGAGAGAGACGGGGGAAGAGAAAGAGGGGAGAGACTGATAAAGAGAGCAAGAGAGAGAGAAGAGAGAGAGAGAGAGAGAGAGAGAAAGAGAGAAAGAGGGGGGAAGAGAAAGAGAGGGAGAGAGAGAGAGAGAGAGAGAGAGAGGGGGGAAGAGAAAGAGGGGAGAGACTGATAAAGAGAGCAAGAGAGAGAGAAGAGAGAGAGAGAGAGAAAGAGGGGGGAAGAGAAAGAGGGGAGAGACTGATAAAGAGAGCAAGAGAGAGAGAAGAGAGAGAGAGAGAGAGAGAGAGAGAGGGGGGTAGGGGGTGGGAGAGCGCATGCGACAGATAGAGATAGAGAGAAATAATAAGAAATAATAAAGAGAGAGAGAGAGGGGGAAGAGAGAGAGAGAGGGAGAAGAGAAGAGAGAGTGAAGAGAGAGAGAGAGAGAGAGAGAGAGAGAGAGAGAGAGAGAGAACTTAAGTATATACTTAGGAGGCCAAAAGAGAAAAGGAAAAAGCAGAGGGGTGCAACAAAGCCCCTAATTATACAGGAACCTCGCTCTAGCGGTTCTTTTGATGGGTGTACACGATACCTGTAGAGTTCTTTAGGGTGCATGCCCATGTGAATGACCTGGAAGTCTAAAGCCCTACCAAACACCCAATTTCTACTGTGTTACCATGACAAAGAATGTGTTCGAATAGGCCATTTACGTAATGTAATCAAGTTTAATGCACAAATCTTTGATTCACCTCTTATAAATAATTGTATTTTAATAGTCAGAATGTAAATTGCGTATATTACGTGCCTAGCAGTAACCAATGTATGTAATTCGCATTCTGACATTCTGACAACGTGGCACTTAACAAAGATTTGTGCATTAAATTTGATTACATTACGAAAACTGTCTATTTCTTCTGTTACTACGACAGTAATGTGTTCGAATTCGATGATAGCATTTTTTTAAATCGAGCTGATTGCAGTCGAACCTGTGAATATACTCAAGGGAGACAACGAAATGGTCTTTATAAGCAGATGACCGAGCTTTATGTACAGGTTACTTTAAAACGTTTCAATTTTATCAGGGAGCATTAAATATGGCCTTAATTAACAAATTACATCATAATCACTGATGTATTCAATTAGACCCTATCATTCTTTTAATGATCGTCTATCATTGTGATTATCAGCCTTCTCCTGCTCCTAATCCTCCTTTTCATCATCACTGATATCATGATCATGATCATCACCATCATTATCACTATCATCATCACTATCATCATCATAGGCCTCCTTATAATCATCGCTGCTATCATCATGATCATCACCATCACCATCATCATCATCATCATCACCACCACCAATATCATCACCATCATTATCATAGGCCTCCTTATAATCATCACTGCTATCATCATGATCATCACCATCATCATCATAGGCCTCCTTATAATCACCACTGCTATCATCATGATCATCACCATCAACATCATTATCGTCATCATCACCACCAATATCATCATCACTATCATCACCATCATCACTGCTATCATCGTCATGATCATCACCATCACCATCATTATCATAATCATCATCATTATCATGATGATCATCACCATCATTATCACTATCATCATCATCATCATGATCATCACCATCAGCATCATTATCACCATCATTATCACTATCATCACCATCAACATCATTATCATCATCATCATCATCATGATCATCACCATCAGCATCATTATCATCATCACCATCAGCATCATTATCATCATCACCATCAACAATATCATCATTGCTATCATCATTATCATCATCATGATCATCACCATCACCATCATTATCATCACCATCATTACTATCATTATCATCATCATCAACACCAGCATGTGCATCATCCCCATAATCATTATCGCTATCACCACCATCTTCCTCGCCCTCGTCATCAACACCATCAATATCATCTTCATCTCATAATCACCATTACCAATCATCACCAACAATATCCACAGCCATACCTGCTAAACTAGAATGGAATAAAATCCAAATCACACAAAACATTTCAGGTTTACTTTTTGTTTTATTTTATTTTTCTCACTCTGAAGGTCTCACAAAATAATAATACCACCTATTAATATATCAACTCTTCACACATTAGCAACTTTGAATCCAAAACACACCTAAAATCTCAAAACGTCACAGGGGCACTGACGTATACACCTTTAAAATATGTAACAATTTTCACCTCAGTGCCCCTGTGAGATTAAACCATGTTTTGGATTGCAATACTTTTTAGATGCTAAAAAGGTATAATTTTTTTTCAATATCACCCATATGTAGTAGAATGCACTTCAAATTTACGCACTTAGCATGGGTAAGAGAAATGTTAAAACACATGGGCTAAACAAAAGAAGCATTGATTTATCAATAATCAATGGAAGAAGACAGAAAAGAAGAAGAAGAAGAAGACGCAAGTATATGCACAAAGTTTGAAAGGAAAGGAGAGTAGAAGCTTGAGAAAGTTTTAAATAAGTGATTATGGAAAATTTTGTGATTACAGTTATCTTTTCTCATCTGCGTACAAAATATTCAAGGTAATAATAATGTTAAAGCTCTATCAACTGATGTTAACATTGCAGGGAATTCTGCGTACATTTTTTATAATATTCTTGATAATTTACTCCATAAACAGGGAGCTCCAAATTCAGAAAAATTGTTCAACAAATTTTAACACATTGATAAAAGTTTAAACATTAGTAATTAAACATTCTCAATTAAACACTAGTTCATTGTTTTTTAACGATTTAATTATTACATTATACTGGACAGGTGGTCACTTTGTTTTAACAAACGACATTTAAACATGGGTTAAATTCAACAACATTATACTAATAATAACGAGATTTGCATTTATAGTGCACAATATAATAATATATCATGTTTAAGTACTCAACTCCCTCCTTGATATAATCTGTTTCTTCAATATTTACTGTTTCGTTCAACAACCCCTCACAAAATTTCCAAAGTTCAGAATAAGTTGGAAAGTTTAAAAAAATAGGGGGAGGGTACAATATAAGAAAAATTTGACACACATAAGACACTGAGAAACATGAAGAGGAACAATCACAAACAAACGGATTACAAAACCAAACTCACATCATTAAAGGCGTAAATTTAACACTTTTTTTAAAGGAAAAAATGATATATTTTTTAATGATAAAGGACACGGCAAACTCGTTTACTATATTTTCAAACTCTCACTCACTTACACTCTGTCTTATAAACCTTACACTCAAATGCAATCCAACTCTTTCCATGAATTCCCACCTATTCTCAAATTCAATCACTAACTACAATTTTTTTCTTTTTTCTAGGTAAAAAAATCTGTAAAAATGGAAGAACAACCTTATGTTATACAAATCAATTAAAAATTTGAATTGAGTTACATAAATGTAAAAAAAAACCTACAAGGTTTAAACACACCAAAATGGATAATATTCTTGCAAAAAACACCACATAACTTTTTTTCTTCAACTAGTACTAATATTTTTTTTTCCTTTTTATATATAAATGGTCCAGTTTTAAAAAATGGAAGGAAATTTGTGATTGTACATTTTAGTTCTGAACACTGGAAGTACTGTATGATTAAGGAGTGAGTTTCCAATAATTAGTTGTTTCTGGCACATGTGTCGGTAAAAATGACAGGAGATTCAATTAATATCTCTAGTTGAACATAATTTGGACACTCGAGCAGGTTTTTGCTACAATCACCCTCAACAACATTTATCAAACTCTCAAATCGATTTATCATGAACATACAAGTTTTGAAGCAAACTATGCGGGCAAGCTCTTAACATTAATCAACATTTTCATAACATAATTGCAAATACAAATTGTCAATTCTATACCTAATCGGAAGCGAAGAACAAGAACATTTGAGAACATTATTTGAAATACTGTAGGAAAAAAACAAACGGTCCTACAAAATACAAATTGGTACTTTCCAATCACATGGTTACATTCTATGACATCTTATGCCTGTACACGATGAAATCCAACAAAATCCTCTGATTTTTTGTTTTTTCTGTGGAATGATCGTCAGGAATGATAAAATGGAAAAGAACTACTTTAAATGGAATCCTCACATCATCACGGAATGATTGAATTAAAAAAATAAGAGTACGCTGGAAATCACAACATTTTACAATTTCATTTTATGGTTCCTTTGGTTAGAAAATAAGTCAAGGCACTTCATGAACGTGTCAGGAATATTCTTTGTCTCTTTAGAATTATGGCACAAAACTACATATTTTAACAACTTATTCAGTAATCTTCATCCAAAAAGCACAAATAATGGTGAAATGTATTCTTTTAGAAACAAATTTGGGGAAAATACACTAACACTCCCCAAAGAGCTTCACAACTTTCAAATACACGCTTCCAGTAAATTGTTATATTAAAAAAGTATTAAAAAGCGGCCCAACATCACAATCATTCATACACACACGGTCACTCGCACACAAATAAAAGAGGAAAATTGAATAAACTCAATAAAAAACAGGTTATAATTTAAAGAGAATAAACACAATAATAAAAGAATTCAGCTTCTTTTTTTCATCAAGAAAAACAATTTAAATAACCTATCGTTGCCTTGCAAAAAATAATATATTTGTGGCATATGATGATTATGATCACGTTCGCCAAACATCATCAAGACATTTAACATGAACCAGTCACATATTGCTTTTTATCATTCGCTTCAATACTACCAAGATCTTTTAGAGCCAATATGAGGGCTATCAGAACAGTCGTGTTGCCAATTTGCAACTGAACACTGATGAGTGACAAATTTTAAAATTCAATACCCAACATGTCCGACAGTACTCGCATCCATGAGCCTGTTTATCTACCGAGTCACGAAATATCCACAGATTATTGTTATATCGAAAATTCAACTGAGTAAACAATTACGATCCAATCCATCGCGCAACAACATCACCTGTTCGATGTACTTAAAGACTACATACCATCTAATTCTACTTCAATTACAAAATAAGGCACAAATGGTGACAGCCAAATTTCAAAAATGAAATATTCACCTTCTTTCATGGATAATAATAATCCAATACATAATATTTTGGCCCGTTTGATGGAGTCTCTTGAAGGCACGAATGTTTATTGCAGATACTGTTAATACAAAAAATGTGTATTTTTTCTTTTCTTCAAATGTCGAAATTGTCTGAGAGTAGTTACAGAATATATTGTATTTCTCAGCTGCCTTTGTTTTATAACTACCCTCTTCCTACGAGAGGCTAACTGTGTCTTATCTCCTACAGATTTACAAAGAAATCAGGGAAAACATGCAGTCCCGTTTAAGTTCAGCAGTACTTCCCTAAATGAAGATGCGATCCCTGTTTCCTTTGGTAGTATTTCCAGTAATGACCCGACGGAGCAATCATTGGACGCTGCTCTGCTTTGGCAGTTTAACTAAGCCTTGCAAATGAGACGCAAACTAGAGTCGGCATTAGTGGATCCCGGTCGTCTTCAACAGTTACGAAGAACTACGATGGCCAGTCTCATCTTCAGAGACACAGAGATAAGACACTGCACCCTCTACAACATTTCCTGGTACCCGTTTCCATTTTTAATCTTTTTTTTTGTTACGACTGATCGATTCTGCGACTCCTGTCCTTAGTGGAGTCGACATCCAGCATCACATCAACCGTAGCTTTGCACTTTTTGTTCTGTCCGAGTGTTGTGCATTTTCCACTCTCCGTAATTGGAAGGAACGGTCGCCTCCGACGCAACATCCACACCAACGTTTCATCGAGGATGTTACGATATGATATATCGTTCATATTCAGCGATCTGTGTCTTGTCGACGCACCTTGGAATTCCTCTGTCAGCAGAGACCGCTTGGCATGGTGATAATTTCTACTTCGTCCACGCCGGTTGGTGTGCATGGTTTGTCACTCTCGTCCATGGATCGTGTCTTCTGGACCGTGGTGTGTCCTGCGGTCTTGGTTGGAGAGCCAGGTACAAGGTTCTTGCTCAACAAGTTTTCCATTCGATCTCTAACAAGAATGAGGTAGTCCTGTAAATGGCGAGAAGAAAAAAAGAAAGAAATATCGGATTAATTATCATAACCGAGAAAACTACTTGAAAACTGAAGCCTCTGATAGTCAACTATAGCACAACAAAATGAATCAGAACATAAATGGAGAAAAAACATGACATCTACATCTTTAATCTATGATGAATTGATTATGCTGCATGCACATGTAGGTACATTAAATGTAAACCTGTTAGATGGGGGAACACTTGGCCTCCTTTTCTTCATGAATGCCATACAGGCACTTTAGACATAATGAGGTGAGTTTTTACATGAAGGTGAAAAACAAAGGAGTGCGCCTTTGAGCTTTTGAAGATCGTGCAGGTATGCCGGTGGATTCTAATAGGGGTGATGGAGGGGTCAAGTGCCCCTCGTCCACCAATCAGACTGCAGCGTTTCCACCCGTAGGCTAGACAGGGGAGAGAGATAACCCAATACTTTTGGCTATCGTCATGGAGACGGATGACAACAGACCAGGTTGGGGGAGACCTAAAGTGTGTCATATTTCCCTGGAATCCTCATGAAAAAAAAGAAAGTAAAACACCCGGTGGTAAGCTCGATTCTTTCAAATGATCCAGGGAAGGGCTGCCAAATTTTTTCTCCGTCATCCTTCCCTTTTCCCATGTTTGCGTGGGACTTGCACAATGGACCCCAAGTGCAGTTCTGAACATGATGTATGCGGTCTCAATAACATTGTGGCTTGCCGGATGATATCGTGGAAGAGACCTTGGCACATTTTCTCCGGGTGGGACCTTCGTGTTTGGCCACGCTCGACCGCAAAAATGCAGTCCATGTTCACACGAGGTTGGGATTAGGTACGAGCAGTCTGTCCTCGTTATTTCAAAGTACAGATACTCGGTCATGCCCTCCACGTTTTAAGGTTTTTTGTTGTTAAATTCTTAACGGTATTGAATGATGGAGTGGAGTCTTACCGTGCCAAAGCATTTGCTTCTCATCTTTTATCAAACAATATGACCAAAATCTTATTAAGTTGTATGTTATTTATCTTCTTTCTTTTTTAAGTTTAACTAAAAACAACAAATAGCTGACCATTAATGAATGGAGGAAGCAAACTTCTTTTTTGGTTCCTTCCCTTTTCTCTGTCTCTGTCTATTTCTACAATTTAACCTGTTGATGCTGTTTTTACATGACAATGAAATAAATTGAAATTGGAATCGATAGGTATTAGTGGGCACATAATCTCTCCATGCCTACATTCTTTTGTAGGAGCTATTCCGGATGGCGCAGTTCATTTGGAAGTGGAATTTTGAAACGCTAGAAATAACATCCTCTCTGTGGTGAAAACAAAGTTGGGAAGTCATAACAATCTCAAACTCTGCTACAGAATGCTGGAACCAGAGCAAAGAGCTTGAACTATTATCCCTAAGTCACGTTTAACAAAAGACATTCTTTTTTATGTACCCCATCCCCTCTTCGTATTGTCCCACCCTTTTATAAAGTCCACGGCCACGATAATTGAAAAAGAATTTAAATTGGCAACTGAAGTATGATCATCACATGGAAACCTCAAAGTTGGAAACATTTTAGAAATTCTAAAGATGACCCTCACAAACTCTGGTTGAACTTCTTTGGAACTTTGGAAGGTTGAAAACTTGAATCAAATCTGAACTGTAAGCACCAGGATCATGAGAATCAAATATCAGTAATGTTATGACGCTGCAAGGACCAAGGGGAAGACCAAACAAGAAAAAGTTGCTTTCCTTTTATCTAGTTCTAGTTCATTACTTGATTATGCAACATCTGTAGCTAGGATTTAACAGATCACAGTATACATCCTGAGCAAATTATACCAAAATACCAGCCCAATTAAATGCCCTTAGAGTCTCGAACCAGACTCAGAGACTATCATTTAATCTCTCTATCTCTGTATCTGAATCATGTTGATTCTTATGGGCAGCAGCTATCCAAAATCTGGTCATGTTTGATTTAGGCCGGAGATAGACCTGGTTCTACCCCCCTAGGCCCCTGTGATCCTTTTCTGGCAATGCAAAGATCAGACCTGCATTAGTCAACACACAGCCTGAGTGTTTGCCTCATTTAAAATCTAGTTCAGTTCTACAAAGTTAACCTGCACATATTGTTACCAATCCATTCAAACTGCATGTCCCTATCTATAAAACTATATGATTCTATGTAGGCTATATACTTATACATGTTCATACAAGGCCTACTTGTTGTCTTTGTGCACTGGTAGTTTCTGCAATGGTAGGGAGATCAAACTGATGAAGACAGACCCACTATTCTTCTCTAATTCACAATTTATTACCAAAATTGGGAACCAATCAACAACAAAACTACTAGTCAAGTGCCAGTCATTAGAGGAACACTTTCATGCACTTTGTACCAATAAAACTATGTGATGTGAAGGGGAATTGTTGAATGTTTCCACTACCTGCTGGCCCCTTGGAATGTCATGGAAATAAATCTGTCTTGCACAGGTCACATGACCTCTCTGTGACCTTTTGACCTCCCCCTTGTTTGGACTGTAGACCCTGGGGGATGGGCCATGGGGGTGGCATGGGGTCAAGGGTTAAATCTCCCCTCCACCTGTGCTGTGTACCCACAGGCAAAGGTAGAGGAAGGAGGAGGAACAGGGAGGGGGAAGGAACCGGGAGGGGGGGGGGGGGGGGGGGGGGGGGGGGGGGGGGGGAGGAACCGGGAGGGGGAAGGAACAGGGAGGGGGTGGTAGGTGTTCTAGAAAATGTCCAACTACCTGGGAAGTGGAGACTTCAAATTGCCAACATTTTCGCATCATCGTAAGCCGAGGATGACAGATGTTCAATATCGCTATACACATGCCTATCCACTTTCAATTTTCATATACATTTATATTTATGTAATACATTGAGGTGGATCTGGTGGTGGAAAAAAAAGATGAGAAATGTTATGGTCGTTCCGCACGTTCGCTTGTACGAGGTTAAGGGGTGGTTGTGGGGGCGTGCACGGTGGTGTATACTCCTCTCTTATGTCATGTCAGCTAGTTTAACAGTCATGGAATGTTACGCAGTCTCATGGTGAGACTCCCCCTACTACTAGCCTACAAGACCCCAGACATGGTAACATTCTTGGCAATCTGCGATGTAGTTCAGTCCCATGAACTCTTTTTCATGTTTGTGCCATGGTGTTGTTATGATAAAGTAGGTGGATGAACCGCATGTAACACTGATTGTCTGATTGTGCTCAGCTCATTATAGCATCAAGACAAATGCTTACACAATCAGTTTAACTTTCAGAGAAGTATCTGAAATCTACCTATGAACTTGTAGCAATGTAGTCACCTAAGGCTAAAGGGCTTTTCCATGCAAACATGGCCAAGTTGAAAATCATTGCCCATGTTCAGAAATCCATAGGTTCTGCAGAGCGAGACTAGAAAGTTCAGGACGAACATGAGGAGGCCCTGGAGTCTCCCTCGCTTGGTGGCAACAGGAGAGCCTTTTGGCGGGGAGAAATACGATAGTTCCATAAAGTTCAAAATCATATCGGCCTTATTACATCATTAAACCAGGTTGCAGAGGCCACCTCTTGTAACCACAACACAAGTCCCAAGCACACTTGACGAGCTCAAGACATGTAGCCTAGCCTAGTCCTTTGGGTTCCCTACATTTATGTCAAGTTTCAGAGGTTACAAGTTACTTGTGTCTGTATCCTAACTCCAGGTTTGTAGGACCATGGACCTGGTACTAGTTAGTCCACAGTGCTAGGCCAACATGTCATGCACGCAAAACCTAAATGAGGAGAGAGCCAAACCTGTGGGTTAAATCAGTTCATGATTCACCTATAAAAGATTGGACTGCAACTCTGCAAGTGTCCACCAACTTGATTTCAATATACACATACTTTCTCTGGCACATAATGGTCACCCCTCCCCCTCCCCCTGACCCTTCCTAACTTTGGCCATCAGGTTTAAAAACATAACCTTGGAGAGCTAGCAGGAAATCCATCCCAAATGTTCATGGCTCTTTTGAGAACCCATTGCATTCCTGGGTAATTGAGGGCAGTAAAAAAAGACCTGGGCAAAGGCCGAGAAAACAGAAAGAGAAAGGAAAGAAAAAGGAGAAAGTCATCACATCCATGTACACTGCAAACACTTGCCCTACAAAAAGAATTGTAACAGGTCAATGAAACTTACAATGGGGTCAATGTGTGTCTGCATTCTTGAGTTCAGTGTAATATAACTTGAAAGATTTGTGACTCTGGGAGTACTACAGGACCTTCTAGGACCTTCCTGAGACGAAGAGAATCACTGTTCTCCCGGTCTCCAAGCAACTCACAACTCACGAGGAAAAAATTTGGGCTAGGCATCAACAAAAACAAGACATACACTAGCATTTGTCACGAATGTGAAAGTGACGGTGTCATGTTTACCTCTAGGTAAAAGGAAACTTGGCTGTTTATGGGAGACTAGCTGGGATAAAGCGAGGAATGTGGGCTCTTTTGAGTATGAGGAAAAAGAATCTTTCAAGAAACATTCTGCACAAAGAAAGACGAAATAAAAAAAGGTGTTGGATTCAGTCAGGTTATTTGTTCTACCCTATTTTACCTTAATTCTCCCCCTATAGATTTCAGAAACTGGATTCCACGGGTGGAGAGAAGCGAGGAGAGAGAAACACGGGCTGGATTTCGTCTCTCGGTTACCGTCGGCAACCGCTGGAATCCAGCAGGCTGCAGGAAGCCAGACTCGATTTCAGATGCAGCGATACACCCAAATTATATCAGGCATTGTTTGGATTTGAAAGCGCTCTTCCTAAACAGATTTCTTACCAGGTCGGACCCTACTGATGTTACATGCTCACATTAAAAAGCCACAATAGAAATCGGCTCAATGAAACCGCTTCTTTACACTGCTATATTCATTCTAAAAGCAGGAACTTATACCCCCCCCCCCCCTTTTTTTCAAATCACAAAGTTCATCTAAACAATCAAAACATTTTACAATTTGAAGGTTGAAATTAACCTCAACC